CCTTCGCTGCTTGAACGTCTTCCAATGCCACCACATGATGACTTTTCTAACCCCTCTAGTCCGTAGGTGCCTTTACCTACAGATTCCTGGTATTTTCTTCATCGCCAATCATGGCCTATTTACAGTGGAATATACGCGGCCTCAGGGGTAATCGGGGTGAGCTTCAGATGTTGCTTTCCAGGTTTTCCCCTGTTGGTGCTTGCTTACAAGAACCAAAATTACACTCTGCTGTTTTCCAACCTATCTCAGGCTATAATTTATTGTATTCTTCGGATCCTTTCTCGGATGGGACCTTTAATGAAAGTGCCCTTTTTCTACGCAGTGATATTCCGTACTGTCAACTATTTGTCCATACCTCGCTGCATTACACTGCAGCCCGTATCCACTTGAATAAGTGGTTTACAATATGTTCTTTATATCTCTCTCCTCGAGCATTTTCTATCCCAGACTTTGCCTTTCTTGTTTCATCCTTACCACCACCACTTCTGTTACTTGGTGATTTTAATGCCCACCATTTCCTCTGGGGGGGGGGGTCCTCATTGTGACTCACGTGGCATCCAGTTGGAGGCTTTTCTCGCCTCTCACCCCCTCCATGTTTTAAATACGGGTACTCCCACCCATTTTGATCCTCGTACTCATACTCTCTCTTGCATCGATCTATCAATCTGCTCTTCCTCCACTGCACTAGACTTCACCTGGTCTGTTCTACCGGACTTACATGACAGCGATCATTTTCCAATCATTCTTACTTCTCCTTCCTATTCACCACCTTTCCGTAGCCCTCGCTGGCAATTTGATCGGGCAAATTGGGATCTTTACTCACACCTCACTGCTTTTAGTGAGGTTCCTTCTTCATCCTCCATTGATGAGCTCCTACACATCTTTTCGACGTCAGTTTATACCGCAGCTTCTCATTCTATACCCCAAACCTCGGGCAGGCATTCTCAGAAGTGCGTGCCTTGGTGGTCTCCTGCTTGTGCTCGTGCAGTACGTTTGAAACGCGTCTGCATGGGCAGGTACCGGTACAATAGAACCGCTGAGAGACTTCTTGATTTTAAGCAGAAGCGTGAGATCGCTCGCCGTGTCATCCGTGAAGCTAAACGCACTTGTTGGCGAGACTGTTTCCACCATCACCTCTGCTTCTTCTATGAGTGCAGTCTGGAAAAAAGTGAGGAAATTGAGTGGTAAATACTCTCCTGACCCGGCTCCTGTTCTACGGGTCGCTGGTGTTGATGTAGCAAACCCTCTCGACGTTGCCATTGAACTTGGCACACATCTGGTCCGTATTTCCTGAGGGCTCCATCTATGCCCCTCGTTTCTTTCCTCAAAGTCTGCCAGAGAGTTAGTACCCTTGGACTTTTCTTCTCTCAGAGAAGAACAGTATAATGTGCATTTTACACTTCAAGAACTAGAGGCAACGCTCTCAGCTTGCCGATCATCGGCAGCTGGGCCTGACGACATTCATATTCGTATGTTACAACATTTACATCGGTCAGCCTTTGTAGTCCTCTTACACCTCTTCAATCTTATTTGGGCACAAGGAGTTCTTCCCCAGCTGTGGAAATCTGCCATTGTTCTCCCTTTCTGCAAACCGGGTACTACAGGACATGATGCCTCCCACTATCGTCCCATCGCTCTTACTAGTGCAGTTTGCAAAGTGATGGAACGTCTCGTAAACCGACGTTTAATGTGGTATTTAGAGACGCACAACAGTCTCTCCGCTAGTCAATATGGCTTTCGTAAGGGTCGTTCTACCATAGACCCCTTACTACGCTTGGATACGTATGTTCGTAATGCCTTTGCGAATAATCACTCGGTTATTGCCATATTTTTTGACCTTGAGAAGGCATATGACACAACTTGGAGGTATAATATTTTGGCCCAGGCCCATTCCTTAGGCCTCCGAGGCAATCTACATCCTTCCTTAAGAACTTTTTAACTGACAGACATTTCCGTGTTCGAGTCAATAATGTTCTTTCCCCGGACTTCGTCCAAGCTGAAGGTGTCCCTCAGGGATGTGTTCTAAGCACAACACTTTTTTCTCCTTGCTATAAATGATTTGGCCTCTGTTCTTCCACCCAATATTTGGTTCATCACTCTATGTTGATGACTTTGCTATTGCTTGTGCAGGCGCTGACTGTCATCTTATTGCAGTTTTCTCTCCAGCATGCGGTCGACCGTGTTTCCACTTGGGCCACCACGCATGGGTTTAAATTTTCAAGTACCAAAACTCGCCAAATTACTTTCACTAGACGCTCTGTTATCTCCGATCATCCTTTGTATCTCTATGGCTCCCGTATCCCCGAACGTGATAGTCAGGTTTCTAGGCCTTCTCTTTGACCGTAGGTTATCCTGGAAACCTCACATTACCTCTCTGAAGGCAACTTGTCACAGCCGGCTAAACCTTCTTAAAACCCTTGCTCATCTTTCCTGGGGAGCTGATCGTCGAACTCTGCTTCGCCTACATTCAGCCCTCGTTTTATCGAAACTCGATTATGGTGACAAGATTTATTCCGCGGCCTCTCCTGCTACTCTCTCTAGCCTTAACTCTATCCATCGCCAAGGATTACGTTTGTGGCTTGATGCTTTTCGCTCTTCCCCTGTTGAGAGCCTCTATGCAGAAGAGAATGTTCCATCCTTGTCTGATCGCCGTGATGCCCATTGCCTTCGTTACTATGTACGCTCTCATGATCTACACAATCCTTCCATTTATAGAATGGTCACCGATATTAGTAGACATTCTTTATTCGTTTGCCGCCCCTGTTTGCTCCGTCCCTTTTCTCTTCGCCTACATTCACTCTTGTCTTCCCTTCAGTTACCACCTTTATATGTTCATGTAGCATCTCACTTTTCCCTACCCCCCTGGGAAGTTCCAGCTGTTCGGGTCTGTTCTTTCTCACTCCCTTGCTCGAAAGCTCAACTGCCCACGGTGGCTTTCCGCTCTCTTTTTCTTGATCACTTCCACTCCCATTCTCATGCCACCGCTGTGTACACAGATGGCTCTAAGTCTTCAGACGGCGTCGGATTCGCAGCAGTGTTTCCGGACAGCGTCGTGCGGGGGCATTTACTATCTTCAGCTAGCATTTTTACTGCTGAACTGTATGCCATTCTTGCACCACTTATTCGTATCGCATCTATGCCCGTGTCATCACTTGTAGTAGTCTCAGACTCCCTTAGTGCTCTATAGGCTATACGAAAATTTGATACATCTCATCCCCTAGTTCTCCGTATCCAACTTTGGCTACACTGTATCTCTACCAAACATAAAGATATTGTTTTTTGTTGGGTCCCTGGTCATGTCGACGTACAGGGCAATGAACAAGCAGACACTGCTGCGCGGTCAGCAGTACATGACCTACCAATTTCCTATCGAGGTGTTCCGTTTCTGGACTATTTTACTGCAATAGCTACCCACCTTCGCACCCGTTGGCAACAACGTTGGTCAACTCTGCTCGGTAACAAACTTCATTCTATTAAACCGAGCATAGGTTACTGGCCATCTTCTTGTCATCAGTGCCGAGGTTGGGAGACCACTCTCTCCCGCCTTCGCATTGGTCACACTCGTCTTACTCATGGGTATCTCATGGAGAGGCACCCTGTTCCTCTCTGTGAGCAGTGTCAAGTTCCAGTATCGATTAGCCACATTCTGTTAGACTGCCCCCTCTATCAACGAGCACGCAGAATTTACCTCCAACGTCGTCTTCGTTCTACTACTCTCTCTTTACCTTCCCTTCTTGCTGATGGACCCTCCTTTAATCCTGACTCTCTCATTGACTTCTTGACAACGACTGATTTACTCCACAAACTCTGATACTTTTCACACTCCCCTCAGCCCTTTCTAGTTCAGTCTCTTGCTGCCCTTTACCCTTTCACCATCCACTGCCCCGCTGTTATCCGTAACCTATTACTCGTCCATCTCCCTTTTGCCACCTGATGCCCTCGCTTCCTTCCTGCCCTGCAGTGCTGTATAGTCCTTGTGGCTTAGTGCTTCTTTTTTATTATAATAATAAATAATAATTTAGAACTCCATTTTTGTTATCAATTGAGTACAAGAAACTGCCCATTTACCAATTTCAACTACCCAATAACATGGTCAGAAATTTGCAATTTGGCCAATTTCACGAAAATTGAAAAATGACAATTTCAAAATAGGATCTAGAATGAACAATGCAGACATTCCTGGCTCTAAAATAACATTTTCTTTGTTCATCAGTCACGTCTCCAGGCCCCTCTGATATTACTCTTGCTTTCTATTTTGAATTTTTACTCAAAAAATAGAAGATTTACTGTTATGCAGACTACTGCAATATTGTAATAATTGTATAAATAATGTCAACCCGTTCATGGCTGCATATTAGAATGGCTACTTGGACATTTATTGGAAAATGACATCATTTGTTTACTTTTGAACATTGGCAAAAATCAAACATTTCCTCTACTTTGGGCTCCATTTCAAGGTTCTTCTCATAGTAAAACCTAATCAAAATCACCTCTATTTCTATATGTTTTCCATTCTATCAGATGAGCAAGAAAACGAGAATACAACCATAAATACTATACAAAAATAGACCACAAAGTCAGCATTTTAATTAAAAATAATGGTCAGTTTTTTTTTTTCTCGTTATTCACCGTGTGCTGCAGGATTTTTTTTTATATGGTGCACACTGACCACACAGACCCGTTCTCTCACATGTGGGCCTACCAGCTTTCTCCTGCTTGATTTGAAGCCGCTAGAATTTGAGTATATTGTCAAAAACGGTGGCTTGTAAGACATATATATACTACCAAAACAGTCAAAGGGTTAAGTAGGCAAAGGCAGGGTACAATATTTTGCTGAAAGATCTAGTTATGCTGGGAGCAAGGGGCTAGTAACCCCTTCTCCTGTATATATTAATAAATGTAAAAAGAAAGACTTGTTTTTCTTTTTGGGTCACCCTGCTTTTGTGGGATACAGCCAGTTTATTAAAAAAAAAAATTGGTTATGTTGATTTATCACAATTCACCTACACTGAAGAGGGAGTAACTTTCCATCATAAATTTTTTCTTTAATACAACTTTCCTTCTAATTGCTTACTTGACTACCTCCCATTTCCTAAGTTCTATTTAATATTTAACCCTTATGGGTTTTATGATTATATAGTATTGTAAATATGTACATATTACAGTGGTATATCATGTTACGATGGGCTGGAGTTACAGTAATTTGAATTACAATTTGCCCTCGTAAAGGAATTCAGTTTCGAGTTGTGAAAAATTTGATACGATACGCATTTGTGATAGAATTATGCCATCTTTTGTGTTACTAAGTCATCATGGCCCCTAAAGTGCACAGTAAAAAGTCAATTTCTTTGAATTTCAAACGAGAAATTGTGAAAAACATGATGCATTGGTGAGTGATTATGGCCTTCCACAATCAGCTCTGTCTACTGTTAAGGAAAGACATTATCAAGCCTATTAAAGTGACTGACAGATCTTAGCTAGTGGGGGAAAAAGGTAAGAGAAATTATCATAGATTTTGAAAGACTACTGCTATTGTGGATAAGAGGCCCTTGTGGGTTTAGGCATTTGTTTTGACTAAATATTGTGGATAAGAGAAGCAGATAAGGGGAGATATAGTGCCTGCAAGTTATATCTGTCACCATGCAAGTCTGATGTCTAATAAAAGTTGCACTTCCAGCAACTAGAAATGAATTACCATAAAACCATGTATTTTGGGGCTTTAGTTTTGAGATACAATGTGTCTCTTGGAATGGGCTAATATTGTAACTTGTGAGACCACTGTACTTGCCTCATTGGTAATATACTTCATGTATTCTTTTGTGCTCTGCTCCCAAAAACCTTAAAATGAGGTTAATCTAATTTATTTTATCAGCCAGTTTCAAAAATTAATCTTCAGTCTTCCCCCCCCCCCCCCTAACAAGTCGGCCGTCTCCCACCGAGGCAGTCTTTACTGAGACTTAATACAGGAGGTTTCTAGTAAAGGATGATGAATATTCACTTTGTCAAGTATACTTTATTTTACTTTACCGAACAAACTCGAGCTTCGTTTATCCTAAACTTGCCGAATTTTTTTTTTTTCATCTCTTGTAAATATTATAACATGTTCTCCCTTTAAGGAACTCTTCCTCCCCCCTGAAAGGGTTCTTGATCCTAGGCACTAGAGCTACCCTTTCTTCGGATCAATTCTGATTACCTCCCACTCCCCAGATCCTTTGACTCCTGGATGTAATGCTTCCTCATGAATACTGTATGACCCTTGAATACTGTATGACCCTTGAATACTGTATGACCCTTGAATACTGTATGACCCTTGAATACTGTATGACCCTTGAATACTGTATGACCCTTGAATACTGTATGACCCTTGAATACTGTAAGACCCTTGAATACTGTACGACCCTTGAATACTGTACGACCCTTGAATACTGTACGACCCTTGAATACTGTACGACCCTTGAATACTGTACGACCCTTGAATACTGTACGACCCTTGAATACTGTATGACCCTTGATGCCCTCCCTTCCTTGGAACCCTAATATCTTCTTTTATGCCCCAGGCACTGAGACCCTTACAGGTTAAATGTTCCTCCCATGAAAGTAATGCATGGCTCGGTCTTGTTTAGCACTTTTTGTGAATATTATTATATGTTGTGTGGGAAGTACTGCACCCATAAGGGTCATGAAGCACCTTGGGGAATGGGATGTGATAAAATTCAAAGAAATGGAGGGTATTTCCAGTTTTTGGATCAAGAGCCCTTCACTGGAATCTAGGAACCTACCTTCAAGAGTTTTGCAAATATAATACTCAGTGTGAAGGTGAATGCAGCCATGGGCTCCCCTAATTTTCCAGTTGCCTGCAGGGGGGCTGCCTCTATACTGCTGACACTTAATCAAGGGGATTGCAATTACCCTCCCTAACCTAATTAACCATAATTCCCAGGTGCTGTGTACCCATATGGGTTTAGCACTAATACCAATTATAAAATTGTGTAGGACCATTTTGGAACGAGTGCATTTTCTATGGTTGACCAGAGCTGTATGACCCTGGTGGGTTTAGTGCTTAGTTTTGATTACAATTCTATGGTTGACAGTTTCACCTTGATTAATATCCTTTGAAGAAAAGCTTGTGTAATCTGAAGTATTAAGAACCTCTTGATCTAAGGTTTTGTACCAGCACTTCAGTTCCTTGAATGGAGCTCAGTCACGGTGTCCCGTGGCCTGGTGGCAAAGCTCTCGTTTCGCACTGTGAAGGTCCGGGTTCGATTCCCGGCAAGGTTGGAAACATTGGGCGCGTTTAATTACACTGGTTGTCCATGTTCACCCATCAGTAATAATGGATACTTGGGTGTTAGTCGACTGGCGTGGGTCGCATCCTGGGACAAAACTGACCTAATTTGAGGGAAATGCTCTGCATAACTGCTTTCTATATAGTATGTCAGTGATGTCATCTTGGCCTGTATACCTTGTACGTGTACTTGTAGTAAATAAAGATATTTATTATTATTATGCCTTCCATTCCTCAGGTGATGTATGACCCTTTTGGGTTTAGCATTCCCTCATGAATGTAATAAAGCAGTAACTAATGAAAAAGAGTAGTGATGCTTTAGGAGAGAGATGACCAAGGAACAGCAGCAGCAGAGGCAGAGTCTACCAGGGGTAATAAGTCTTCCCAGTGCCTGAGGATAGAAAGGTACAGTACAGTGTTAAGTCACATACTATGTCAATGTACTGAAAACCTGCCAAGACTTGATCATTGTTATAAACCTGCACTCAACACCACTAAAAGTTATTTATTACAGATATGTATCTCAGCCTTTTGACAAGTGTCTGTATGACCCTTGTGGGTTTAACACTTAGTTATAATAATTATTATAAGATTTATGTGTGAGTTTCGAGCACTTTTGCTACCCAGACCAGTAAAATCTATGGGTTTAGTGCTTTCCCCCCATGAATATAATAGAGAATTTGATCTGTGCTCTAGGTCCCTGAATCAAGTCTAAATACCTTCCATCCCCCCCCCCTCCACAGGCACTATAATCCCTGTGGGTTTAGTGCATTTGAATGTACAATTATAATTCACTACAGCATTGTATGACCCTGGTTGGTTTAGCACTTTTGATTGTAATAATAACAGGCCTAGGAAAAGAAAATAACTATGGTACTTGTAACTTAAATTATAGAGATCTTAGTGAAACTAAGTTCTGGTTAGCAGTAATCTAAAGGCAAGACGCAGCGCTGTATAGCCCTTGTGGCTTAGCGCTTCTTTTTGATTATAATAATAATAAAGGCAAGACAACACTGCAATAAAATTTAATACAATTCTTGGTCTCACATCAGTAAATATTAATATGACAGATACTCAGCTTATCCTTCAACTTTATATATATCCTTGGTAAGGCCTCAGATTACGCTACTCAGTTCTGGTCTCCATATTACAGAATGGACATAAATATGCTGGAAAATATATAGAGAAGAATGACGATGACGATTTCATGTATCAGAAATCTTAACTACGAGACAGACTGAAGACGACAAGGATCTCAATGGAAATAAGTCACTTTGACTCTTTTGGGGTTATCCTAGTGGGTAATTTACACTATATATGATAATTGTACTTGTGTGTACCTATACCTAAATATCAGCTCTGTATAGCCCTTGTGGCTTAGCGCTTCTTTTTGATTATAATAATGATAATATACCTAAATAAACTTACTAACTTGTACTCTGAAAAGGCGTAGAATTAGGGAATATATGATTAAAATATACAAACAGAAAACAGTAATAAATACAGGATATACCAGTTAATAACGCGTTGAAAACATTTAACCAAGTCAAGACTCGTGGCAATGAATTCAAGTTGAAGAAATTTAAAGGAAAATGGATACAGGGAAGAAATGACTTGGCAATAGAGTTGTGGAACAGAACCAAAAATTTTGGGTAGCTTAAAATATAGACTGGAGGGGGGGGGGAGAATATGCGAGTGAGATCTGCCTAACATGGGTCAATAGGCCTACCGTAGTGTTCCTTAAAGTGTACAAACACATTAATTGTACGAGTCTTACAATGGCATTCTGAGAGAGTGAGAGATGGATGGATAAATAGATTAAGTTGAGAAAGCTACAAAAGAATGTCAGTAAGCGAAGGACTTACCACCATATCCACCAGAGCCACCATATCCACCACCATAACCACCACCATATCCACCATACCCCTTCGTCTCTTGTATCAGTACAATCTGTGTCTTAACTACACCAATTGTCGCCAGTTGTGTATTAGTTGCCGTTGCTGTGCTTATAGAAGTCACCGTTGCTGTAGCTGTTGTGGTAGATGATGTGGTCACGCTTGCTGTTGTAGTTGCCGTTGCTGTTGTAGTTGCTGTTGTGGCTGCTGTTGTGGTTGCTGTTGTGATTGTGTTAACGATTGCTGTTGTGGTTGCCGTTGTGTTTACGGTTGCTGTTGTGGTTGCCGTTGTGGTTGCAGTCGCCGTTGCCGTTACTGTTGTGGTTGTCACAGCCGTTGTTATCACTGTTACCGTCTGTTTGTCGTCAGTGATAACAGTGTCAGAACAGTGAACAAATACATGGTTAATTTAAAACTATACTGTGAGTGGTAGTCACCCCAAGACTATCCTGTGAGTGGTAGTCACCCCAAGACTATCCTGTGGGTGGTAGTCACCCCAAGACTATCCTGTGGGTGGTAGTCACCCCAAGACTATCCTGTGAGTGGTAGTCACCCCAAGACTATCCTGTGGGTGGTAGTCACCCCAAGACTATCCTGTGGGTGGTAGTCACCCCAAGACTATCCTGTGGGTGGTAGTCACCCCAAGACTATCCTGTGGGTGGTAGTCACCCCAAGACTATCCTGTGGGTGGTAGTCACCCCAAGACTATCCTGTGAGTGGTAGTCACCCCAAGACTATCCTGTGGGTGGTAGTCACCCGAAGACTATCCTGTGGGTGGTAGTCACCCGAAGACTATCCTGTGGGTGGTAGTCACCCGAAGACTATCCTGTGAGTGGTAGTCACCCGAAGACTATCCTGTGGGTGGTAGTCACCCCAAGACTATCCTGTGGGTGGTAGTCACCCCAAGACTATCCTGTGGGTGGTAGTCACCCGAAGACTATCCTGTGGGTGGTAGTCACCCCAAGACTATCCTGTGGGTGGTAGTCACCCCAGACTATCCTGTGGGTGGTAGTCACCCCAAGACTCCTGTGGGTGGTAGTCACCCCAAGACTATCCTGTGGGTGGTAGTCACCCCAAGACTATCCTGTGGGTGGTAGTCACCCGAAGACTATCCTGTGGGTGGTAGTCACCCGAATATTATCCTGTGAGTGGTAGTCACCCCAAGACTATCCTGTGGGTGGAAGTCACCCCAAGACTATCCTGTGGGTGGAAGTCACCCCAAGACTATCCTGTGGGTGGAAATCACCCCAAGACTATCCTGTGGGTGGAAGTCACCCCAAGACTATCCTGTGGGTGGAAGTCACCCCAAGACTATCCTGTGGGTGGAAGTCACCCCAAGACTATCCTGTGGGTGGTAGTCACCCCAAGACTATCCTATGGGTGGTAGTCACCCGAAGACTATCCTGTGGGTGGTAGTCACCCGAAGATTATCCTGTGAGTGGTAGTCACCCCAAGACTATCCTGTGGGTGGAAGTCACCCCAAGACTATCCTGTGGGTGGAAGTCACCCCAAGACTATCCTGTGGGTGGAAGTCACCCCAAGACTATCCTGTGGGTGGACGTCACCCCAAGACTATCCTGTGGGTGGTAGTCACCCCAAGACTATCCTGTGGGTGGTAGTCACCCCAAGACTATCCTGTGGGTGGTAGTCACCCCAAGACTATCCTGTGGGTGGTAGTCACCCCAAGACTATCCTGTGAGTGGAAGTCACCCCAAGACTATCCTGTGGGTGGTAGTCACCCCAAGACTATCCTGTGGGTGGTAGTCACCCCAAGACTATCCTGTGGGTAGTAGTCCAAGGGTTACAGTCATATCATGGGTCCAGGAACTGAGCCTTAACAATCAATCAGTGTTATTAATACAATAATATAAAAATAATATAATTAATATAATAATAATCATTGAAAGCTGATGCAGCAGACACTTGGGTGTCTTGTGTGAGGAGACGTTTTGCCCACCAGTTGCTTCATGAGGTGATCAGTCCCTGAGGCTGGTGTTGACTTCGACAGTCTTGACTGAGGGACTGATCACCTCAAACTACTGCTACTTCCCGTCTTCCACAGTCTCCATTATTATTCACTTATTGGATTATTAAAGAAACTGGTGGTATAAACCTTGGTAATAAATACCGACAAGTTGGTTTAGAAAGACACGTAAGCAAACACTATAACATATTTATTAGAAAATGTTTCAAGGTCCCAGGACCGAAACGTTTTCTAATAAATATGTTATAGTGTTTGCTTACGTCTCTTTCTAAACCAAAGAAACTGGTGGACGAGACGTCTACACAGTATAGGTAGTCAGGTGTTGGTCATGTGTCTGGTACATACAAAGTGTGTACTCACCTTAGTACTCCGGAAGTACTTGACTTGAGTCGTACAACCCTGTCAACCAAGTAATAAAATCAGTCATACATGTGTATAATTCAGATGTATATATACAATGTGTATAATGCAGTGTATTTAATACACCCATCACGATACTCGTGTTTGTCCGAACTTCTACGAACGTTATGCTAAGTGGAATGTAATATTCATAGTCTGACTGTGAACTAAGTGTGAGGTGTGAGTGACAGTGAACTGTGGGTGTGAAGTGTGAGTCTGACAGTGAACTAAGTGTGAGGTGTGAGTGACAGTGAACTGAGAGTGAGGTGTGAGTGACAGTGAACTGAGAGTGTGAGGTGTGAGTCTGACAGTGAACTGAGAGTATGAGGTGTGAGTGACAGTGAACTGAGTGTGAGGTATGAGTCTGACTGTGAACTGAGTGTGAGGTGTGAGTGACAGTGTGAGTCTGACAGTGAACTGAGTGTGAGGTGTGAGTCTGACAGTGAACTGAGAGTGTGAGGTGTGAGTGACAGTGTGAGTCTGACAGTGAACTGAGTGTGAGGTGTGAGTCTGACAGTGAACTGAGTGTGAGGTGTGAGTGACAGTGTGAGTCTGACAGTGAACTGAGTGTGAGGTGTGAGTCTGACAGTGAACTGAGAGTGTGAAGTGTGAGTGACAGTGAACTGAGAGTGTGAGGTGTGAGTGACAGTGAACTGAGTGTGAGGTGTGAGTCTGACAGTGAACTGAGTGTGAGGTATGAGTCTGACAGTGAACTGAGTGTGAGGTGTGAGTGTGAGGTGTGAGTTTGACAGTGAACTGAGTGTGAGGTGTGAGTCTGACAGTGAACTGAGTGTGAGGTGTGAGTCTGACAGTGAACTGAGTGTGAGGTGTGAGTCTGACAGTGAACTGAGTGTGAGGTGTGAGTCTGACAGTGAACTGAGTGTGAGGTGTGAGTCTGACAGTGAACTGAGTGTGAGGTGTGAGTCTGACAGTGAACTGAGTGTGTGAGGTGTGAGTCTGACAGTGAACTGAGAGTGAGGTGTGAGTCTGACAGTGAACTGAGTGTGAGGTGTGAGTCTGACAGTGAACTGAGTGTGTGAGGTGTGAGTCTGACAGTGAACTGAGAGTGTGAGGTGTAAGTCTGACAGTGAACTGAGTGTGAGGTGTAAGTCTGACAGTGAACTGAGAGTGTGAGGTGTAAGTCTGACAGTGAACTGTGGGTGTGAAGTGTGAGTCTGACAGTGAACTGAGTGTGAGGTGTAAGTCTGACAGTGAACTGAGAGTGAGGTGTGAGTCTGACAGTGAACTGAGAGTGAGGTGTGAGTCTGACAGTGAACTGAGTGAGGTGTAAGTCTGACAGTGAACTGAGTGTGAGGTGTAAGTCTGACAGTGAACTGAGAGTGTGAGGTGTGAGTCTGACAGTGAACTGAGTGAGGTGTAAGTCTGACAGTGAACTGAGTGTGAGGTGTAAGTCTGACAGTGAACTGAGAGTGTGAGGTGAACACTAACCTGAGAGTAACCACGGTTAACATGTTGACCACCGTAGTTATTATAGTCAGTCTGAGCCAGCGTCACCACCACCAGCAGCACCAGCAGCAGCACCAGCAGTCTCCTGCAGCACCACCAGAGGAAAGACGTGGATAGTAACCAGGATACTGTATTGAGCAGACATTTCGCCAACCAGTGACTTTATTGCTAAAGTCAACTAATTGATTTTATTGTGTTTACAAACATTCAAGAATAACTCAGATTATCATTATTATTACGAATCACAAACGATATTCTTACTGTATTTTAAAAGTTACAGAATACAAGCACTCCGATGGAAATAAATCACTGTGTGTAGCTTTACTGGGTAATCCCGGGTGATTTACATACGAATTAAGGAACACTACAGAAAGCCTACTGGCCCATGCTAGGCAGGTCCTTATCAAATACAAACCCACTAACAAAAAGATTTGCCCAACCCATTTTCAACGCTAGGCGAGGAATAAGCTTTGGATACTCTGAACAAGACAACGATAAAGCTCTGAACTTGTGTAAAGTGCGTGGATAAACTTAATAAAGTGTTCCATGCGTCTCGTCTACAATGTTAATCATAATTTGTAACATTGGGGTGGAAAACTCTGAATCCGTAGGGAGTTACTCAGTGCCTGTTTGGATAATAGGGAGGGTGTTCCGGGGGTCAACGTCCCTGCGGCCCGGTCCATGACCAGGCCTCCTGGTAAAGTACTATCTTTATTATGCACCACATACCTATCCTGTGGGCGGTAGTCAAAAGATTACAGAGGTACATAATGGGTCCAGGGACTGGGCCCCAAAGTTATGATAGCTGAACTAGTTACAAAGGTAATGAACTCCAGGTAGATCTGGGCACAATCATGGCAAGTTACAAAGCCTCGTAGTAGATCAAGACCTGATCAACAAGTTCGCCCCAGGAATTGGTGGCGCTCAGGAGGCCTGGTTGGCATCACGGCTCTTCCCTTCTCTTGGAGAGTCAGTAAGAACTACACTGTCATCACCAGGTATACTCTGTACATTGTTTACTCTCCAGGTATACTCTGTATACATGGTTTAGTGAAACAACAAGCTGATTGTCTTAAATGGTATAAAATACCGATTGCTGAAAGATTTCGCCTACACAGTAGGCTTCTTCAGTCAAATAGAGAGGCAGCAAGTGTAGTAGTGAAAAATAGATGTAATCAGTCCACCAGTCTTGGTGCAACAGTATTTGAGGTGGTCAGTCCCTCTCACTTTGGGGAAGAGTTCAGCTCCATGCAGACCGTCAAGCCTAGTGTGCAGGCGAAACATTTCATCAGTAAAGATACCTAACTGTTGTACATGTCTTAATCTTCAACTTGTCTTTATTTTATACCATTTACAACATGGCCCTTCTAGATAGACTTATCCATGAGGACTGAGTCTTAGAAATAACTCGCCATGGGTTTAAAACCCCATCTGTTCCGTGGTTCGAGTGTTTTTTTTGTGAGTGGAAGAAGTGTGATGTTCACCTCTTGGTCTGCACTCTTTGTAGGGTCAGTTTTGAGTACCTTGATGTAACACATAAAATACCTTAACATTTTGCGTGTTGGGGCTCTGGAGGAGTGATAGAGCAGAGTGTCTGAGTGCAGGAGCCCTTGGACGATCTGCAGACTGTCTGCTGCAGGAGGAACAGTAGGATGATCTGCTGACACTTCTGCAAGAGGAACTCCTGCAGACTCTGCTACAGGAGGACTCCTGGGACGATCTACAGACTGTCTGCTCTAAGAGGACTCCTGGGGCAACCTACACACAGTGTCTGCTGTAAGAGAAATACTGGGACGATCTGCTGACACTGCTACAAGAGGAACTCCTGCATGTAAATACTGAGAAAAGTTGGTACTAGTGATGTGGAAAGAAACCGCACCTTGATGTTAATGTTACCTGGGCAGTCGACCTTGTATACACACATGTATATATATATGCATCACGCATCACCTGAATTCCTGTTTCATTGTTCACACGCCTCACAGATCACCACCGTCACCACAAACACAAAAATAATGCCTTCAGAAAACCATTTCCAGTAGGATAAGACAACACGTCGAAGACCATGAAAAATAGTGCACAACTCTGACTTATTTTTGGGTTATCCTAAGTAATCTAGGCATAAGTTACTATGATAATTTATGTAGCTGTATTTATATGTACCTGAAGATAAATAAATTTACTTACTGACGAAATATACAGTTTAGTAGGATGAGGCTCTGTTGATGTTGATGCAAGAACTGGAAATAATGGACTCAAATTGGTTAAGTATATATTGAGGAAGGGTATACAATATGAGACACAACATCCACAACTACACAACATTCATCACTACACATCCATCACTATACATCCGTCACTACACAACATTCATCACTACACAACATTCATCACTACACATCCGTCACTACACAACATTCATCACTACACAACATTCATCACTACACATCCGTCACTACACAACATTCATCACTACACAACATTCATCACTACACATCCGTCACTACACAACATTCATCACTACACAACATTCATCACTACACATCCGTCACTACACAACATTCATCACTACACAACATCATCACTACACATCCGTCACTACACAACATTCATCACTACACAACATTCATCACTACACATCCGTCACTACACAACATTCATCACTACACAACATTCATCACTACACATCCGTCACTACAACAACATTCATCACTACACATTCATCACTACACAACATTCATCACTACACAACATCATCACTACACAACATTCATCACTACACAACATTCATCACTACACAACATTCATCACTACACAACATTCATCACTACACATCCGTCACTACACAACATTCATCACTACACAACATTCATCACTACACATCCGTCACTACACAACATTCATCACTACACATTCATCACTACACAACATTCATCACTACACAACATTCATCACTACACAACATTCATCACTACACAACATTCATCACTACACAAAAATTCATCACTACACAACATTAAATCACTACACAACATTCATCACTACACAACATTCATCACTACACATTCATCACTACACAAAAATTCATCACTACACATTCATCACTACACAACATTCATCACTACACAACATTCATCACTACACAACATTCATCACTACACAACATTCATCACTACACAACATTCATCACTAACAACATTCATCACTACACATCCGTCACTACACAACATTCATCACTACACAACATTCATCACTACACAACATTCATCACTACACATCCGTCACTACACAACATTCATCACTACACATCATCACTTACACAACATTCATCACTACACAACATTCATCCACTACACCAACATTCATCACTACACAACATTCATCACTACACAACATTCATCACTACACAACATTCATCACTACACATTCATCACTACACAACATTCATCACTACACATTCATCACTACACAACATTCATCACTACACAACATTCATCACTACACAACATTCATCACTACACAACATTCATCACTACACAACATTCATCACTACACATCCGTCACTACACAACATTCATCACTACACATTCATCACTACACAACATTCATCACTACACAACATTCATCACTACACCTTTACAGGCGACGGAAAAGAATAACAGAGCGGCTAAAAGAGGTCAATATATCTGAAATGCGCAGGGAGACACTGGTCAGAGAAATAGCAAGCATCGAACTTAAGCTAAAAGAATCCTTTAGGAGTCAGGAATCGCGGGAAGAACTAAAAGCCATAAATGAAATCGAAAGAAACCCAAAGTATTTCTTCTCCTATGCCAAATCAAAATCGAGAACAACGTCCAGTATTGGGCCCCTACTTAAACAAGATGGGTCCTACACAGATGACAGCAAGGAAATGAGTGAGCTACTCAAGTCCCAATATGACTCAGTTTTTAGCAAGCCGCTAACCAGACTGAGAGTCGAAGACCAAAATGAATTTTTTATGAGAGAGCCACAAAATTTGACTAACACAAGCCTAATCCGATGTTATCCCTACGCCAAATGACTTCGAACAGGCGATAAATGACATGCCCATAGCACTCTGCCCCAGGGCCAGACTCATGGAACTCTGTGTTCATCAAGAACTGCAAGAAGCCCCTATCACGAGCCTTTTCCATCCTATGGAGAGGGAGCATGGACACTGGGGTCGTCCCTCAGTTACTAAAAACAACAGACATAGCCCCACTCCACAAAGGGGCAGTAAAGAAACAGCAAAGAACTACAGACCAATAGCACTAACATCCCATATCATAAAAATCTTTGAAAGGTCCTAAGAAGCAAGATCACCACCCATCTAGAAACCCATCAGTTACACAACCCAGGGCAACATGGTTTAGAACAGGTCGCTCCTGTCTGTCTCAACTATTGGATCACTACGACAAGGTCCTAAATGCACTAGAAGACAAAAAGAATGCAGATGTAATATATACAGACTTTGCAAAAGCCTTCGACAATGTGTGACCATGGCGTAATAGCGCACAAAATGCGCGCTAAAGGAATAACAGGAAAAGTCGGTCGATGGATCTATAATTTCCTCACTAACAGAACACAGAGAGAAAGTCGTCAACAGAGTAAAGTCCGAGGCAGCTACGGTGACAAGCTCTGTCCCACAAGGCACAGTACTAGCTCCCATCTTGTTCCTCATCCTCATATCCGACATAGACAAGGATGTCAGCCACAGCACCGTGTCTTCCTTTGCAGATGACACCCGAATCGCATGACAGTGTCTTCCATTGCAGACACTGCAAGGCTCCAGCGGACATCAACCAAATCTTTCAGTGGGCTGCAGAAAACAATATGAAGTTCAACGATGAGAAATTTCAATTACTCAGATATGGTAAACATGAGGAAATTAAATCTTCATCAGAGTACAAAACAAATTCTGGCCACAAAATAGAGCGAAACACCAACGTCAAAGACCTAGGAGTGATTATGTCGGAGGATCTCACCTTCAAGGACCATAACATTGTATCAATCGCATCTGCTAGAAAAATGACAGGATGGATAATGAGAACCTTCAAAACTAGGGAGGCCAAGCCCATGATGACACTCTTCAGGTCACTTGTTCTATCTAGGCTGGAATATTGCTGCACTCTAACAGCACCTTTCAAGGCAGGTGAAATTGCCGACCTAGAAAATGTACAGAGAACTTTCACGGCGCGCATAACGGAGATAAAACACCTCAATTACTGGAGCGCTTGAGGTTTCTAAACCTGTATTCCCTGGAACGCAGGAGGGAGAGATACATGATTATATACACCTGGAAAATCCTAGAGGACTAGTACCGAACTTGCACACGAAAATCACTCACTACGAAAGCAAAAGACTTGGCAGACGATGCACCATCCCCCCAATGAAAAGCAGGGGTGTCACTAGCACGTTAAGAGACCATACAATAAGTGTCAGGGGCCCGAGACTGTTCAACTGCCTCCCAGCACACATAAGGGGGATTACCAACAGACCCCTGGCAGTCTTCAAGCTGGCACTGGACAAGCACCTAAAGACAGTTCCTGATCAGCCGGGCTGTGGCTCGTACGTTGGTTTGCGTGCAGCCAGCAGCAACAGCCTGGTTGATCAGGCGCTGATCCACCAGGAGGCCTGGTCACAGACCGGGCCGCGGGGGCGTTGACCCCCGGAACTCTCTCCAGGTAAACTCCAGGTAAACACAACATTCATCACTACACAACATCCATCACTACACAACATTCATCACTACACAACATTCATCACTACACATTCATCACTACACAACATTCATCACTACACATTCATCACTACACAACATTCATCACTACACAACATTCATCACTACACAACATTCATCACTACACAACATTCATCACTACACAACATTCATCACTACACAACATTCATCACTACACAACATTCATCACTACACATCCGTCACTACACAACATTCATCACTACACAACATTCATCACTACACATCCGTCACTACACAACATTCATCACTACACAACATTCATCACTACACATTCATCACTACACAACATTCATCACTACACAACATTCATCACTACACAACATTCATCACTACACAACATCCATCACTACACAACATTCATCACTACACAACATCATCACTACACAACATTCATCACTACACAACATTCATCACTACACAACATTCATCACTACACAACATTCATCACTACACATCCGTCACTACACAACATTCATCACTACACATTCATCACTACACATCCATCACTACACAACATTCATCACTACACAACATTCATCACTACACAACATTCATCACTACACAACATTCATCACTACACAACATTCATCACTACACAACATTCATCACTACACAACATTCATCACTACACAACATTCATCACTACACATCCGTCACTACACAACATTCATCACTACACATTCATCACTACACAACATTCATCACTACACAACATTCATCACTACACAACATTCATCACTACACAACATTCATCACTACACATCCGTCACTACACAACATTCATCACTACACATTCATCACTACACAACATTCATCACTACACAACATTCATCACTACACAACATTCACACTACACAACATTCATCACTACACAACATTCATCACTACACAACATTCATCACTACACAACATTCATCACTACACAACATTCATCACTACACAACATTCATCACTACACAACATTCATCACTACACATCCGTCACTACACAACATCATCACTACACATTCATCACTACACAACATTC